TTTTTTTTTTTTTTAAATAGATCAAGTTTAAGAAAATTACTTTATCCTGAGTTAAGCCTTAAAGACTTTTTTGGTTGGTAATATTTATATTTTAGTCAAATTATAAAAATAAAGTAAAATTACTAAATTTTCATGTCTTAAAAGAAGATGTCCAAGTGGTAGGAAAATTTGAATTTTTATGTTGAAAACAACGAATTCAAATCATGAAAAATCTTCGAATGGGTGGAGGAGTTTGGAAACGGGAGAGATATTCCATCTTACATAGTCCATCATTTAATGTAACAAAAAAAAAAATCATAGAAGTTAAGCATAACTAAGTTTAAATATCTAATTTTCTTTTTGACAATGATTGACATACACTTGGTTTAATAGATTATACAACATACTTATTAAAAGTTATTATTTTTTGTCTGAAATCAAAGGTATATAGATTCAAAGATGTAATCATGTACATAAGATACAGTAACTGATTGAATCAATTATATTTATATTATATTTTTAATAGTTAAACCAGAAATGTATTGAATTAAGTGTGTATCAATCATTTTTCTTTTCTTTTATATTAATAAAGAATTAATAAATAATTATTTTTAAGAAATGAAAATGATATATTCTTCATTAATCCTTTAATTTTATAAAAAATTATCAACATGTTGCTAAGCTACTTCTAACTTCCTAAATAAATTTATTAAATTTATTTTATTTTTACAATTTGATAAAAAAAAATACTGGCTACCGGTAACAAAATATGACCTAATTCTACAACTCAAAAGAAAAAGGGCTAAACCACTTAAGTATGAGAAAATTGCATTTCTTAATTTATGTACTGTGTATCTCTTAACTAAATCTCATCCTGATTCCATCCCTTGTATTAGTTCTCCTGTTTTGTTTTATTTTAATTTTATGAAAAGATAAAATCTTCATTGAGCAAATACCAAAGTCAAAGTCTGAAAGTATAGCAAAAGCAGAGCATAGCTATTCCACCTCCACACGCAGTCCCGTTAAAGCGAATTAATTTATATTTGTCTGTTAGCCATATTAAATTATTAATACCAGTGTATAGATACCAAGGCACTTTTAAATTTGAATAGAGAAATTTTGATTTTTTTTAAAAAATAAAATTTTGAGTTTAAGTTTTATAAATGAAAAAATAAGTGTTAAAATAGAGTTTTTTTATAAAGTCTGATGCGACTCGACTTCAAATTAATTGAATTTAATATGATTTCTAGTTACTAAAAAGTTAGTGAAAAAAAAATGTAAAGATAATTTTTTGTATAAGATTAATATGTATAAGTTTCAAATCTTAAAAATAATTGAAATTTCAACCTATATTTAAAATTAAAATTTTATTTTATTAAATGTTAATATCTAAATTTGGAATCTCATTATATGTTTTAATATGATCAATTTTTAAATCTAAATATTAATATTTAATAAAATAATTTTTTTTAAATTTTAAATTAAATTTTAATTAAATAAAACGAGTTTGTTTAATGTTGAAACTCTAATTATTTTTAAGAAATGAAAATGATATATTCT